TGAATGCGTACTTACATACATACGTGTCATGAGGTACGTACCTCATGACATATAAGTAGATTTATAATTTTTTTTCACTAGACAGCAACCCTAACAGCGTAAGAAGAGTTCAGAGGCACGCGATAGAAAGAGACAAAACTTGTAGGTGAATAAAATTGTAAGTACGTAGTGCTGTGCGAGCTGAATTCCACTGTATCGCGTCGCAGCAAGACTCGCATTTATTTAAATCGTCTTGCGGAGTAATCCTTCTCTACCTGTACTATTACTTATTCTGTGGTAAGGCCAAGTTTTTTGAGTGAATTTGGTTGCTAAACCTCGTAGTACCTACTTATATTACCAAGTTAGCGTATGTTTAGGTTGTTTAGGCGTTCAACTATTGTCAACATCTATGTATACTTATCTATCTACATACAGGGTCCTTCTAAACTAGCTACATTCCTTTTAATGGGGGCATCTATACGGTACACTGAACAAGTTCACCAAATTTGAGTATGTGTTTTATAATGATTTTACAAAGTTACATTTTCTAACAAAAATAAAAATTCATTTCGTCTTACATAATGGAACATGCTGTATTTTTTACTCACACAACAAAGCTGTAGTGTATTCATTCTGCACAGGAACACGAGACACAACACACACAACGCTCACTACCACTGCACACTTTTTTGTTGTTTACACTCACGTCATAACAACTCACAGCAGTCGTCACAGCTGATAGCCGATTAGCTGATCGACTGATTGGGCGAGCTATCACTTTAATGTTGCAGGCCTACTCTCATATCGTTGTCTATCCTTATTATCTTATGTTAATCACAGTAAAACGGACTCACGATACCATCGAAAAATCAATCAGCAAAGGCCATGATTTTTAAGGCGCGTCTTAGTAAATTTATTTGCATTTGTGCATCTGTGCGTCATAGTTCACTTCACGAGCACTACAAAACGCACCTTCACACAAGAAAGCTAATCAAAAACTGAATTAAATCAAAGCGCACGCGCCGACAAATGCCGACAAGCCGCATTTTTTTATGTTACCAAAAATAAATAAACTTTAATTTTCTGCTTAATTTAATTCCTTAAATAACTAGTAGTAGCCCTAGAATAGCTTGTATGGCGCCCGGTCCGTCGTCAGGCGGCACTCTTGTGTTCGCGGCCAGTGGCCCAACGGCAGCACAAGCGCAATGGCGGCCATTACGTAAGCTCGTGTGCGTGCGGATTTTTGTCAGTGTAGTAGTGAATCAGCTGAACAGGGTGTTGTATTGGGTTGATAAGAAATGAAGTTGTTTCCTTAATTATCTCGGAAACTAGCCTGAATTTTTGGCTCAAACTTTGGGAACGTATTCAGTGTGACGTATACATGCTCCCATTAAACGGAACGTAGCTGATTTAGAAGGACCCTATATACTAATATTATTAATGCGAAAGTAACTCTGTCTGTCTGTCTTGCTTTCACGCCTAAACCACTGAACCGATTTTGATGAAATTTGGCATAGAGAAAGTTTAAGTCCCGGGAAATGTCATAGTATAGTTTTTATCCCGGTTTTTGAAACAGGGGCGCGCCCGATAAAGTTTTTCTGTGACAGTCAAAATTCCACGCGGGCGGAGAGCTAGTAGTTAACATCATAAAGCTGAAGAGTTTGTTTGTTTGGTTGAACGCGCTAATCTCAGGAACTACTGGTCCGACTTGAAAAAATATTTTTGTGTTGAATAGGTAGCATATTTAACGAGGAAAGCTATAAGCTACATATCATAACGCCAATACCCAATAGACCAATAGGAGCGGAGCACCAATGAAGAATGTTTCAAAATCGTGGATTTCTTCCTTTACAGAGCTGCCGCTGCGTAAACTGTTAAAATTTCGCAAAAATCACGTATGAAAAGATTGTTCCCCTTTAAAAATTCTAAAAAACAGGCCGCGAATAAGTTTGGCTCACCACTTTCTTTGCTAAACTTTTAAAATTATGCATTATTTGCGATAAACATGATAGGTATTAATAAAATGTATGTCAATTCACTTTCATCTAGGTAGTTAGAGATTGCTGATGCACTTACCCCAGGCATAATAATTTGGTTAAAATCTTTGATGACGTCGCTCCAGTCTCATGATAGTTATTATTATAATGTTTATCAATTCACTTTAATATCTAGGTAGTTAGAGATTGCTGATGCACTTACCCCAGGCATAATAATTTGGTTAAAATCTTTGATGACGTCTCTCCAGTCTCCCGGTTCCTCTGGCGCATTTTCAGGCAGGATATCTATCAAATATCCTGGCTCTATCGAAGGCAGGACATCCCTGTAAAATAACGTAACGATAATCTATACTTATAATAAATCTGTAGAGAGGTCAATTCTGTACATGAAATATATTTTCAAAATAACTATCAGGGGGTGATTAATAGTGATCGATACTGATGCCAAAAATGCAATCAGTAAAATTTTTGTCTGTCTGTCTGTCTGTCTGTATGTTCCTTATAGAAACAAAAACTACTCGACGGATTTTAACGAAACTTGGTACAATAATTATTCTATATACTCCTGGGCAGGTTATAGTATACTTAGGAATTCCCACGGGAACAGGAATTAGCGGGAAAATCATTTTGTATGAAAAATCTAAACCGCTTAAGTTAGACGATTGAAATTTGGCATGCAGGTACCTTAGTAAACTTAAAGCTTAGTTACAACAAGTAATTCACGAAATACCCACGGGAAAGGGAATTAGCGGGAAAATTCTTTTGTATGAAAAATCTAAACTGCTTAAGTTAGACGCTTGAAATTTGGCATGCAGGTACCTTAGTAAACTTAAAACTTAGTTACAACAGGATATTGTGAAATTCCCACGGGAGCGGGAGTAAGAGGAAAAAAACATTTGTATGAAAAAGTCTAAATCGCGTAAGATAGATGAAGGGGGTAAAACGGGATCCACGCGTACGAAGTCGCGGGCGGCTGCTAGTTAAAAATAAAATAGATATATTACAAATAAATAAACTACAAAGGTTGACTGGGTGACAATGTTTTAAAACAACAAGAGCGTATCCCTATACATTTCAATTTTAATTACTAATGTAAAAATATTCTGCTCTGCAACGATCAGGTATCGAACCTGTACCAGATACCCACTGTGGTACCGTGATTATGACTAGTATATTTATTCGTGGCGATCTTCTTTAATAGGTATTCATTTAATACCATTATAACGTTTCTTGGGATATGCTTGGAACTTGTTTGGAATCACTACTACAATTAATTAATTAAATTAATTTTGAACAAATAAATATAAATCTAAAATAATAATTACCGTTCCCTAATATTGTCCATGTAGTCTGCAACCAAATCGATGGCGGCTTTCCCGAACTCCCGAAACTGTTGGGAATCCATTAGGTATACCTAAGGGTATACTACACTGTTACAACTTACACTGTACCACTGTTAGTCTTTGAACTATTTATTGTAAAAGTTTTAAAGTTTTATTTAACTGGTTGCAGGCACTAGGTTCCGAAGTATTTACTTTACTCTTTGCACTAGGTGTTGGGATGTCGTTCTGTGAGACAATGGTGGCACCATTTTACCGAGGTAGGGTAGTACTTATTCTTATCAATGGAGGTAGATTTATAGGCGCAAGCGCAGGTTGGCTTTCTACTGCGAGACTGAGACGGGCAGAGCACACGACGCGACTGCAACGAAACTGACTTTTAACGCTTTTCTAACAATATAACGTCGTCACTGTGTGCAGTGTGAGTACCGTTACCGTATTCGCCTCAACTTTTGCGCGACACAGCCTTATTTTAAACGTTTTTAACTACATTTATTCCCAAAGGTCTAAAAACTTTGAAAAAATTAAACTTGATAGTATATCCGTATAAGATTTAAAGCTAATCTTCACACGACTATAAAATATTCCTAGAATTGAAGCCAGTTTGATGAATCAAAATCGGTTGATCCATTAGGGACTACTTATGACAAAAAATACTCATACTCCGACTATGATGCCTACATTCCATTTAATGTTGCTTGGGCAAGGTTGGGTTGATTTCAATAGTGAGGTACTGAGGTTGAAAATAAAACAACTTAATAACACTATGCAATTTAGGGCTTTATTGATAAATAAGTCAAGACAAGATAAAACTGAAGAAGACTTTATGGAATGCAAATACATAAAAATGAAAAGAGTATAATTTTAAATTGAACATTGTATATTTTAATAATTTTATGCTTATAACGTTTTTGTTCAATAATGATATTTTAGCACTGAATAGTTTAATAATGAATGAGTCTATTTTATCACATTTGTGAAATTGTAGTTCATCATTTGAATGTAGTGAAACATGAATGAAAACACAGATTTCTATATCTGTGAATGAAAAGCTTTTCTATCTAAATAAATGTACCTACTAAAACTTAGTTTAATTCAAGGCAGAAGGTATTTTCTTTTTGACTACTAAGAGTATATTTTGAGCCTAGTCGGGACATGTTCGTCTTTCGTTCATTTAAGGCACAAAAATATAATGCCATAGATTTTAACTGCAATGGTTGATGTTTTCAAGTTTTAACTACAAATAACTTTTTAATTGACCGATTTTAAGTTAAAGATTACTGCAGAAAGGGTCGGAAAATTGAAAGATAATCTTAAGAAAAAACAGAATTAGTGAGGATCTAAATAATTTAGGCTTCTTCCTGATGAGCTGGTCGTATTGCCGAAATACGGACAACCTGGTAGGGAGTTGCCCTACAATAGTCAGCGCAGCAGCCAAAAAGTTGACAACCCAACCTCATTCCAATCGTAACAACAACGTGTTGCGAACATTTTGGCTACTTTGGGTGTCACGAACTATTTGACGCTGAACGTACCTACCTACCGAAAAACTGTAAAAATATACATCTACAAAAATAAATGATAAACGAACGCTAACTATGTCTATTAATTACGCAACATATTGGTTTACAGAGGGAATGGTGCACACATTTTATAAAATTCCTCATCTAACCATACTGTTATTAAAAAATCTATCCTCTGACCACATTATGACACCTAAAATACCTTAATTTACAAATACATATTTACAGAACTTAAACTAATGTATTATGGGTAAATAACAATCATGTTATTTATTTCTCGTCTTGCAAAACCTACTGAAGGTGTGGACAAGTTGACAAGCTTAGTCTTCTAATGAACAAGAATTAAAATTATTTAATGAGACTTAAAATAAACTACTACAAACAGTTAAGAAAAACTCAGGAAAGTTATGTTATTCATGTCATTTTGTTCTTAAAATGCATATATTTTACGTCACAGCTGTTTCAGTCGTTTCTAATGAACATTTTTGGTCAGAATTAGCTTTTTTTTCCAAATGCAAGACTTGACGCTGCGACACTAGCAGGAATTATAAATTTATATACCATGGCCTAATTAATTTACCAAATAATATAACATTAAAACGAATTGTGAAAACATGGCTGGAACACTAATTTCAGCCCATGGTCAATATTATCGAGAAAAACATGCAATTCTAAATCACTGAAGTACTTTACTTTTACCTATATTTTCGGAAAATTTCACCTAAGTGTCATAAAAACTGAAATATAATAATAATTTGAATAATATTCTACATTAATAACAACAAATTGTACATCTTTGCTTTGACAAAGTTCATTAGGATTCATGCAATTGTACAATTCTCATGACATTGGTTTTAAAGAGAATGAAAGTTTAGGTCTTGAATTGTTTTTGCCTAAGATCTTCTTTTGTTCCTCTTTTACCCTTTTTTCTTGTTCCTTTTTGAGTTTCTGTCTCTCTTCATCCATTTTTCTTTGTTCTTCTATCATTGCTAACCGCTCTTCCGCCTGTAATAAAAAAATTGCAACTTTAATAACTTGATTTTGATATTATAATTCTTAACAAAAATATGCACTAATAGAATACTAGAATGCTCATCTGTTTAAATATTTGCCATTGAGAAACTGAGCAATATAGCTTGTAGCTTGAGTTTTTTGAGTGATTATTTGAAATTGACATCTATATAATTATTAGTGTTCATAACTTACCAGCTTACGCTGTGCCTCCTCGATTTTTTTATTATTTTCTGCCATGATTTCCTCCAGTTCTTTCCTTTTACGATCTTCTTCCTCCTGTTTAATAAAAAATACATGTTAATTGGGTTCTTAAATGGAAGCGGTAACAAGAAATTTTAATTGCTATGTATACCATTGGACAAATGACTGTTTGTTCTTTATCATAATGGTATAATGTTTAAATTTCACATATTATTATAATAACTATGCACAAGTGATAAGCAAACAGCTATTTTGTGAAAGATTTATAATGAATGTATTATGTGAAAATAGTTTGTCAAAGATAACAAATCTCATGATGAATATTTTATTACATTATATTTCATTGAGAAAATTTATGTTAAATAGTTCTGTTATTCATGTTACTCATTCTCCTATGTTGAGTTCTTTATACCAAGGATATTTCTATTCCAATACAAATCAAAACAATGAACATCAATCGGTTATTATGTTTACCTATTTTCAAACAGAATGTTTTCATACAAAAAATATATTGAAAAATACCTTCAGCATTCACGTCAGGATCCTCAAGCAGCAACTCCATAAAATTCTTACAGCTTCTGGCTCTTGAGCAGTCTTCCGACCTGACTTATAGACTACGTGACTGCCAAGGACAGTCAAGCGAACAATTTTAAAATGCTAGCCGGAAGCCTTCACGGCAATTTGACTAATGTAATCGTCAGAATAAAGCTAAACACAGTATGCCCCATCAGTGTGAATGACATGCATGTAGTTATTGGAAACATCAAGTTAAACAATCAGAGGCTTGTGCCTCAATGAGTGAAATTGTAAGGAACTCAAGAAACAAATTCTTGTAAGCACTCGAACTACACCTGACTGGACCTTTAACAGATATGATCGAAATAATACTTTTATTAGTTTTTTTATATCAACTTGGTAGTAAACATTGATATTATACATTTAGGGTGTTTAGAAGATGCGAGAACAAGCAGAATTGTTTTCACATTTCATTTTTTGGGCGTCATGTGTAAGAGCAATGGACCGAGGGATTGCCTTTGCACATGACTGATAGAGGAAGAGAGCGGTTACCTGTCGAGCCATTTCCTTGCGCCGCTGTTGTTCACGCTGTCTCTCGAGCTCTTCCATCATCTCCTTTTCCATTTTACGTTTTGCTTCTTCTACTCTTTTTGCTACTTCTTGTTCAATCTCATCTTTACGTTTCTCTAACTCTTCTTCAACACGTTTTTTGACAAGTAACTCTATTCTTTTAGCGGCTTCTTCTTCCACCACCTGTAATATTATTTCAAATAACGTTTGAATTTCTCAACATTTTTAAATGGAAATAGAATGGATAATGGGCTTATTTTTGAATAGAAATATCTAATACAATAGTTGAAGGTTAACCACTACATTCTCAAATTTGAATAATAATAGTGTGTATATTACACTACTACTGACCTTTTGCTCAGCTTCTCTAACTCTCCTTTGTCTTTCCATTTCTGCTAAGCGGTCAACTTCGTCCATCTTGCTGCGTCCTTTCGATTTCTTTCTGTGACTCCTGCTGCCATCATATGAACCCTCACTGCTCGTCGTTGATGATACAGAGTGTGACCTTTTCCTGCACACAAAGTAAGAAAAATTAGCACAACTTTTCATAAAAACCTACTTTACATCATGAGTATTTTATAAGATAATTTCGTTACCGAGATTTTGAGCTACGTTCTCTAGATTTTTCAACATGTTTAGAACTCCTGCTTCTTGATGTGGAGCGATCCTTCGATCGGCTCTTTTTACGCGAATGTTTGCTACTTTTGTGGTGACGCCTAGGTGATTTACTACGCGACCTCGATCGGCCCATTGCAATAATTTGTCTACCCACTGTATTTGGCTTCAAATAATGGTAAAATAGCACGTAAATCGCAAATTGAAATTCAATATTGCTCAAAGTGACAAGTGATTGACCGACGCCATAATGAATGTTGCTTGCATGAAAAAATATTCTTCTTTCTACCAGAAACTACCAAAAATGTAGTGATGGTAGAAATCATAGCAATGTCAGTCAAGGGAGAAGTCATATGGCCAAACTTATTTTTACTGCAGTTGCACGCAGAACGCGAGCTCCAAGCGAGCTCTGTGTGTGTGTGTGTGTGTTTTCTTTCAAATAAGCGGTATTTAGTTTGCGAGAACGTATTTCACCTCCTCTACCATAATAGAAACAAATCCTCTACCGCGTGCCTCTCTCTACACTCTCGGTGGCAAGCTTGATGGGAGTGGATGGTAATAAAAGCTCTCTACCCTCTATTTTCGCTGTGTAACTTTTAATAAAACAAATTCCAAATTTTATGTTTAGATTTATTAGTTCTTAAAATATCACTTGAGAAATTCCTGAAAATATTCTTTTTCTTTTTGGTTAATAAAAGATATAATTTTGGAGGTGGCCTTTATAATTTCATCTTGCGTGTTGTTTTCATCGTTAGAAATACCAATATTAGGACTTAAGTTCTCAAACATTCTTTTGATGGGATTAAATTCTACAAAACTTCCTTTGCCTTGAGGGCCATCATCCAACTCACTAAAACTAAATGTCTTCTTGATGCTCAGTGCTTCCATAGAAGCGAAACGACTGCAGGAATTCTTTAACAAAGCCTTAATATCGGTAACACTTTGCAATCGCTTGACGATATGTTTGTGTTTTTTGGAAGAATGTGTCGATGGAACATCCAGTTTCTCTTCGGACTTTGAATCAAAACTGTTTTCGGAAGTGGTAATACGGTCTACTATCTCATCCAACTGCTCAGTGATCACCGTAGCTGCCACAGATAGTTCGTTCTCCGACTCAGTATTATGGTCACAAGGCAAGGGGTCTTCATGTTTGCTCGACACACTATCAACCTCTGGTTCATCATCGTCATCTGGCTGAACCATTATATCAGTGTCGTAGATATGTTTCAATTTGTTGAGCATCGCTTTAATGTCGCGTTCCTTGCCAATATCAGGATCGTCATAAGATTCTTTGATCTCTATATTGCCTCTATAGAAATAGTCCAAGGGCAAAGTGTACCCACGGACAAATAAGTCGGCCGCACCGCCATAGCGTGGTATAGATATCGGCTGTCGATAAATGCACTCGAATTTTCCTGTTGGTGAACTCGTATTGCCAGCGTAGTCGACAACCACTGTAATCAAAAATGTTATTACAGAAACATCATAAAATTCCCATGTCCAGTGCGGTCCACTTTGACCTGACCGCAGACCGCAACTGTGCCAAAGGGGAATCAGGTTGATTAATGTTAAAGTTAAGTAACTACTACCTATAAATAATAATTAAAAAGACTTGAATAAGAAGACGGTTGCTTGCAAAAGCTTTTTAAGTATTTTCCTAATCAGAATGAAAACTGGTGAACTGCTGTTAGCTGAGGAAGATAAAACTCACCTTTTATTATGTCTGAAACAACAGCGGGGCATATCTTGGCCGTTACTTGGGTAGTGTGGTTCAGATCCGGACAAGAGTTGATTTCAATCAACCAAGGCTTATATTCTTTGTCCAGAATAAAGTCGCAACCGTAGAGCTCGAACCTATTTTTGCTAACAGTTAAAGAATCTTGACAACTGAGCATAATGCCGACAATCGACTTTTTCATTCCAGGATAAATAATATTATCCCATACTGCGCTCTTTCCAATTTTCTTTAAATAATCTTTGTACATCCCTAAATCCCACATATTGTTTTGTGGTAGCTCCGAATGCCGTCCCATACAATTCTTGTATTTCCTCTGAACTGCATTATTAGTCAAATGAATTGATTCGTGATAGTTCTTCAAGTTGTACTTTTGAGAGCTGAATTTCAAATAGCAGTCTGTATACATCCATATTACCAAAGGAAAAGTGCTCGTGACCAGATAATACTGTCTGATATCAAACTTGGTGTCGTGAATGAGAAGTGGTTCTTCTGAAAAGATAAAATGTCGAGTTGGTGACTTTTTGTTTCAAAAACCTAAGTCTGCATTTTATAAAACGTTATGAAAGAAAGAAGTTTGTATCGCAACAGGTCCTAAGCACGCGATGTTCACCTAAAAATAAATAAATGTGACGGTTAGAAACAAAGCTGCCTAGAGTTACTAATGATATTATCTCATAATATTCAGCACAGGCACAAATTATGAACCATTTATTCGAAGTATTTCCTCATATGACGATATAACGATAATAGAAACAAAATTATGCTTACCAATGTATTTCTGGATGACATACTTAGCGTTAGCTTTATGTAATAAGTTCGTAATGACTCCTAATTTAGAAGCCATTCTTATGCCTCTACCTCTAGAACAATGAGCAGGCTTTATGATCCAAATATTGTGGCAGCCCTCGCAACTTAGTTGAGGGCGATACCTATGTATTTCTTTTAGTAAACACTTAGCATATCCCAAGTAAAGTGGCAGTTTGTTATCTTTATCCTCTTGAAATACATCTTGTTTTGCAATTATTCTGTAATATTTTTTTAGGAACGCACTCCATTGTCCGGAGCTTGCAGTGCTCAGAGATCTATCGATATCTTTATGTTGTTTTCGGAACAAGTATTCTTTGCATCTATTTAGTGCGAAAACTAATACATTGATGGACATCTTGCCTGATTTTATAAATACTGGCCTCTCATTAGCAACCATAGAAAGAATCCATTTCAATAAGCTAGTGCAAGCTGTTATTTTGTAATCCTTCACAAATCCTTCTATTTCCCCAACATCATAACTATTGTATGTTCGTGGACCATTGACTTCAGCTACATCCTCAATATAAAACCAGTAATTTCTCTTCATCGATGAACATAACCCTTGTTTTGTAGTCCACTGGGCATCAGTTTTAAGTTTATTCACTATAGTATTGCATTCTTTAGCAGAGTTCATGTCTATCATCGGTGGTTCGCGTTGTTCATCTTTAACGCGCCAAATGAAGTTCGGGTTGTACTTCTCAACTAAATTGGATAAAAGTAATCTTTCTAGTTCTCCATGTATTTCTGATTTATTAGTGAATGTACCATTACGTATTTTGGATAAGTTCATCCGATTAGGTGGTATTTTTTCTACCCACCCGCGTTCAAGTAAGGCTTTGCGAACGGCACCACAGCTACCATAGATAGAAAATATCTTATTCTCTTTAATAGCAGTTGAAGCCAAGTTTTTAAGTTTTACGTATCTCGATGACCTTGTTTGGCAGCTGCAAATTACGTAAGCTTTCTCTTTGGGCGAGAGCCCCGTGGATCGGTAAGTGCTTTGAAGACCCATGGTGTTATATCTTTTTCTATCAGCTATTCGAGGACTGTTATGGGCAAACCGGTTAAATGGTGACATAATCCGTTGGACGCCGCCTTTATCATAATGCTTATAAGGGGATTTCTGTAATCATTATGAACTGTATCAAGGATTGCTTTAAGTTTATATAGTTTGAAAGAATAAATTAAAATGCTTATTACTTTGGACAGGACTGAAGGATGTCTCTCGATTGTGGGTCCAGATCCTCCAAAAACACCATCTTGTCTCAAATGCTTCGAGAGTTTCATTGGAAACGAACTAGAAGCTACGCTTTTCTGCGATAGAAAAAAGCAGTCGTTACTATTTTGAGACACCTGATTAAATCGTAATAGAGCCTTAATTTACCTTTTTCTTTCTGATACATTTCTTCTTTCTGAGTGGCATTGTGATGTCGATTCATTCTTTTTCTAGCATGAACCTGTATGTCCTCTACGAACAGCAACATAATATATTTTGTGATTAAGAATTTCAATATTAGGATTATGGGCCTTTTGACTTTATTGGCGTATTAAAAAGTATGTTCCACTTATATGTTTTGTACTTATATTTAATGTATTACCTCCTCGCGTAATGGAAACATTTTTCATCACTTTTTCATGTTTTATTTCCTTTTTTTGTGTTTTAAATTACATTTTACAACTGCACTTGAAAAATTTTGACTTTCCTTTGTGACATTATTGTCAAAATTTTATGTCACTCAGAAAACTGACAGTAATTTTGTGAAGCTTAAAAAAACATGTGCGTTCCCTTCGAGAGGCCACTAAGGAAAACGAAGGTTTCGTATACATAAAGATTTAGCAGAACCTCTAAAACAAATGTAGCCAGAATGATAAATTTGTAGGTGTTGTAAGTTGGACGCTACAACTCGCCGAATGTGGTCCCTCAGATGAACTATGTCAAATGCCAAATTACTGAATCTGACCAAATAAGANGTTTTCCATAGTGGCCTCTCGAAGGGAACGCACATAAAAAAACTTAATTTATGAGTCGGCAAAAAGGATTTTGATTATGTGGGAAACTTGACACAGGAACAGTAGGATTCGGGATTTGGGAGCACCTGGAACACAAGGAAGTAAATGAGGAAAGTAATATAAATAAGCTACTTACATTTTATTACATTATTTTAACACACATTATAATAATTTTAGTATAGAATTTGAAGATATCAACAGCACAATAAAAATAATCTCAGAAGTTTAACAATTTTAAAAATTCATACCATCTCACTCAATTTGTTTTATAAACAAAAGTTCAGCACAGAATCAAAATACATTATTAATTTTTAAAGCGTTAGGTACTCTTTCTCTTTGTACTAAAGCCCTAAGATTCATCGTTGAGAGGCGTAACAACAACACGATAAGGAGCATAAATAGATGCACAGCTTTTAGAGAAATTTATTGTCTTTTGTTTGTTTCTACTTTCATCCCTCAACTTACAGATATTCCTACCGATAGCACTCAATTTTTTTATTGAATCTGCATCGACTTCTCCAGTTTGTGATACCAAATGTGTTTTTTGAGAGCCTATAATTCCGGATTTAGAGTGACGCAAGGGGTTAATTTGTGTTGATTGGGTTGTTTCTGATCTACTGGTGATTTTGTTTTGCACCGAAATGGTAGGCCGAAGAATACTAGCCGTTTCTCGCTCCCATTCAGCCGGATCTATGTAGCACCGTTTGTTACCAACCGACCTGTTAATCTTCTTATCCGCTTTGCTCGCAGATTCAGTTCGAAATTTCCCGGCGTTATTTGCGGATTTGCCCTCATCGGGCTGACAACACGAGTGAGGCACGACTCGGCGTTTAAATTCTGACAAATTTCTTTCTCGCCTTCCTCGATGTGTCCTAGAAGAAAGGGAGGTTTTACGTTTTTTCGCCGAAGTATTACTCAGCGCGATGCCTGATTTGACGACAGTAAGGGCCTGGCGTACCGTGAGGGAGTCCTTTGGTCCGATCAAAATTCCGTCTTTGTTGGTTGGCAAGGCGTCGTAAGGGTTTAACCACGTGAGGAAATCGGTGATAATGGGTCCGCTGTACTCCGCTGGCACCGGCTGGTCTTGGTCAGGGTTCGTGTCACCAGACGGCGCCCGAGGCTCCAATGGCGTTACGGTCTTCGGCTCGTGTCTTCGTTCCTTTGACTTCTTGTAGAGTTTTTTCCCGTTGACACATAGCGATAAACCTAGGTAGGCCGGCGCTTTGGGGATGACCTGCCTGTAGGCCAGTTCAAATGTTCCTGTGTCGGCTTCCGGGTTGTGACGTCGATCCAAAACGACTGGAAATATAGGTAATAACATTATGTATGTAAGTACATTACATAATAAAATAATCTACAAAGAGGAACTAGGTTTTCTTACCTTTAACGACATCTTCAAGGCATTGAGGGCATAGCCGAGCTGTTACTGAAGTTGTGGGAGCCAAGTCAGGACTAGAATTGATCTCGATAAGCCACGGCGTGAAGTCCTCTGTTAGCATAAAGTCCGCTCCGTATAGCTCGAAACTGTTTTGCCTTTTGTCCATCGTCTCCTGGCATGCCAGCATCGCGCCTATTAGGCTCTGTTTGATCCCGGGATATATCTTCGAATCCCACATCTCATACTTTCCTATCTGTCTTCAAAAATAAAATTACTTTTTAATACCTCATTATTACCACTACATGGATGTTTACATTACTATATTAGTCATTACCTAAGGTAAGCCTTGAAGGTGTGACAGTCCCACATGTTTTCATCAGGTAGCGCTTTATCACGGTCACCGTTGTTTTTGTATTTCGTCTGCACTGCATTATTAGTGAGATGCACAGACTCGTGGTAATTTGACAAGCTGAATATCTGAGAACTAAATCTTAGGTAACTGTCCCTGGAACAAAAATACGCGAAAAGCTTAAAGAAACTTAATTTCATTAGTGTTTCTTCAAACCAATGCAATGGTATTAAAACAGAGCAGATTACTTGTATATCCAGATGGTGAGCGGTTGACAATTCGTGATCAGAAACCACTGTCTTATATCGAATTTGGTATCATAAATAACAAGGGGGTTTTCTGTAACAAAACAACCAGGTTATGGAAATCTAAATATCAATGACGTCATAACTTGCAACTCGCGTGCTGAGTTCAAAGATGTAATACAAGTTATACAAGTGTTGTGATTTCACGTGGTTTGGAGAATTTGGGTTTCAAATAAATAAATTGATTGTGGGCATCATGTGACTTTGGTTCTGACTGGGGAAAAAACATTTTAGATCAAAAAATTCTAAGTAAACAGGCAACATGCAAGCATGCGTGACATCACCAATGTATTTCTGCACAACGTATCTAGTCTTCTGAGCGGGGATGTTGATGAGGCCGATGATATCCTTGATGTTGTTCATGAGCTGGATGCCCCGGCCGCGGCACTTGTTGCCCGGCTTCACTATCCAGATGTTCAGGACGCCGTCGATGTCAATTTGGGGCCAGAATTTCGTCATCGTCGCTAGAGTCTTGGCTGCTTTTCTTTCAAGTTGTCTTGAATTAAAATATTGAAATCACATTACTAATAAAATATTCTTGGAAGTTAATTAGCTATCGAATATACCTACAATTCTGCCAGGAAGATAACGAAGTTACGCAAATTACTCATCTCTTTACCGCTTCAAGTTTCGACCTCAATACCATTACTCATTCTTACACAGATGTTGAAAAGTATTATCTAATGTTTTTCTTCGTCAATACAAACAATCCAAAACAATGATCTAATAAACTATACGATGACTCCAAATATTTACGTAAGATATTTACTACCTAATTACCTTAAGTTAGTATTTTTGTCCTCCATAAACTTGGCTTTTTCGTGAACCAGGAGATAATGATGCGTTAGAAATTGATCCCATTCGTGTTCCCAAATGTGTTGAGCCTGGTCTTCCGTATCATCTATGTCTTTATGTGTGAAGAACGATATGTACTCGTTAAGTCTAGTTATGGCAAAGTCTATTGAACTGAACGGAACCTTTCCGTGAGTCACGACCAGAGTTTGCTCCCCGCCAGTTTGCACCGCATTAGATAGCCATTTTAGGATACTGATGCATGCTGTTATTCTAAAATCGTCGATAAACTCCTCAAGGCTATCCGAGTTGTGAATGTTGTAGCAGCGTGGGAACCTTGTTAACGCAACCCCGGGCTCGGTATACCAGTGCATTTGGGTCAAAGACGTCGTCAAACCTTCCTTGGTTGTAAATATCGACCTGCAGAATCTGCGAAATTAACAAAACAATCACCAAACACGCACGACCAGAATAGCAGCCATCGATCAGTGTCATCGTTAACTTTAATACCTGCTAATAATAACTTCTTTGTTACTAAGCAACCAATCGTATTTGTCCCTTTTCGTTGTCCACAAGAAATCCACTGAATGTTGTTCCATGAATTTGTATAGAATCATCCTCTCCACTCTGTTAAGTTCTTTACCTGTTGCTTTTTTAGGATCCATATTTGCCGGTGGATGCCGTGCCTAAACGCGAAACAATTTATTTAGAATTATGTTGGCAGTAACTTTGATATTAATAAGGTATTTAAATGCGTGTGGTCTGAACGATATCATGAAAAACATCGCCTGTACTCAGGTGCCAAGTGCAAGTGCCCATCGAATCGACTGTGTAATCAATGGGTGTAGAATGAAACAATAATAATTCATCCTCTCACTTGATATATTTCGTCGTTGGCACTAGCAGACCTGCAATCCTGATTCCGAAAGGTAAAGGAAGGCGGCCCAAATCAAAACATATCGTAAAGTTAGCAACAGTGATGGTACCGATTTTTGTCATACCCCATTGGCATATGAATGATCAATAAAGATCCAATCTATTTGCAAACTCATATGCATATGCAGTATGTAGGGGTTGAATATACTCGAAAAACAACTTCCAGCCATTACGACAGTGAATACTAAAGCTGTGAGTCTAACAAGAATTTATTTAATCGACTTGAAAATCAGTTAGTGGAATTTATTTTCCACGGCAGTAACTTACTTATGTTCGTTAGGTCTGATTGTTATCTAGGTATCAATAACTTTCATTAGACCTTTGTAATGGCAGCAAACCGGATTATATCTATCGGATTATGACCTCAATAAACTTGACGTTAATATTTGCGTACGAATGGAGACGAATAGTGTCTCGTTAATTCACAATTACGAAGGTATTGTTGGGGAGGACTTTATATCGACGGTCNTAAATTTTACTGCGGAAATCGTTCTAATTTTGTAGTTGCGGGATTTGTTTTTTGACGTTTTAAGGTTCAATTTGAATAAAAACTGTATGTTTTTTTAACTGAGCCGAAACTCTTGGGTGCTCTGAAGGTTTTACAATCAAAAACGGCAAATCACGGAACTGGTAGATACTGAACTATACGTAGGGACCGTCGATATATTCAGTCTTATTAGATTAGCTCACATAATAATCTAAACAAATTATATTTCACTATCCAATCTATAACTTTGACACTTACTTAGGTACTTTTAATTTTTACCTATTACGATGTCTATTTTTGTCGCTAATTAAATATAGGTTGTGCTAATTAGTACCAGTACCCAGATTAACAATTTCCCGTTACTCCACCCGTGTGGAATAATACTATATTAATAATCCTGTTAAGATAACATATTTAATCCCTAATATAATAAATGGCGAGCAGAATACCTAGAAGATCCAGACACGAATGTATCATACAAAAATTTCCATGTGCATGGTTTTGTACTTTAGAGCTCTATAAAACTGTTAGACCAGACAGTATTTTATAGATCGATAGTCATGATTGCGATGGGGGTTATCGCATTTATTAAAATGTCTTCGTAAGTCGGAACTTATGCTATTTCCCTCGTTTTTAAGTGAAGTTTTTTGGGTAGCCTCGGAGGAATGTACATTCTGTACTAGAATAGGGGTACAAAAGCCAAAAGGAATAACCATACCTTGTGCGATTCATATTTCTCTATCCAGCCCCTCTCCAGGAGAGCTCTCCGCACCGCCGGGAATCCTCCGCCCTTTATCATGAATACTTTTCGCTCCCTCATCGCGTTTTCAGCCAACTTCTTCAGTTCATTCCATCTCTCGTTGCTTACCCAGGATTTGAACTGCTTCAGTTGCTCATTAGAACATGCCGGTTCTAATAACGTCGAAACAAGGTAATTATTACAGATAATTTATGGGCTCATCAAACTACAGATAGGATGAACTAAGCATGTAGATATGAATTTTCCTTGCCCATTAAAAATGTAATTGGAAATTTGTATTTTAATTTTTGTCACAGAAAAGCAGATTACTATTATTATCCACTTGGATCTAAAGTGAATGAATAAACTGATGAATTAACGTTGCACATTAAGTTTAATAGCGAAATGAAGAAGGAAACTTGGTTCATGCTTATAGATAAATTCATTGCAAAAACTTGTTGAAATTGGAAGAAATCTGGGATTAAAGGAGACGAACCTGGCCCATGATCTGATTTGGAGAACGAGACAGCGCTCGAGGGCCGTAACTCCTTCTTGGCCGTGCTATCCTTGTGCAGTTTCGAGTCTGACGCGCTCTCCTCCAGGTCCATCGTTACAGCCATGAGCCTCGGTTGCTCTCCAGAATCCTACAACTGCAACAGAACAAATCAGCGACCGTTACGAACATGACGAATGCTACCCAGTTCTCATCGAAGTCGGGACGTGTGCACGAATTGGGGGTTGGCGCTGGACTGGCCGTGGTAACCTCCAGTGCAATAACCTACTTTAATGTAACCTACATTTGGGGTCCGAGGCTATCATCGGCCCATCCGCGCGCATCTCCGCCTGGCACCTGTATGAATGACGTCACGCCCAGGTACCTCCATCGCAAGACGCGATGTACACGCGGAAATTAATGAGTCTAAACTACTCTTACCTCCTGTAACCAGGTCGTCACTCAGAAAACTAGGTTAGACGAAACGCAATAGCGTTCATATAAAAATAAAGACCATATCAATGAAATGTAAACTATAAATTTATTTTGACATGTTCAATTTGAGTGCCCAGTTGACATCTTGAAGGAAAGACCTAAAATATAAAAAAAAAACTAAAAAGTTTTCTATTTATATAAAGATCACAAGTTAGATAACTATTATTAATAAGTAATCAATCATCTCGTAATAACCAGCAAAATTAAAAATCTGATTTAATATTTATTTTAATTAATAATTTACAAATATTAAATTTACAAAGTTCTAATTTATCCTGTTGAGCAGCGACAAATTAGAAGAACTGTACCTTTTTTTCAGATTTTACTTCAACAGTCCATCGTTTCGTTTTTTTAAACTTGCTTTGAAAATTACCGCCATTACTGCAGCAAAATGTTTACTTTTTCCCGCCGTAATTTGTGTGCACGGCTTGGAAAATGGTAGATTAGCCAAAACGTGTTTTGGTGTTGCGCACAAAAACAATAAAAAACTACTATTATAGTAATTAGAAAGAAAGAAATAAATATTAGTAAATATTGATAAGATGACCTTTACAACTATTTTACAACTGCCAGCCAACGGTCCCTTCACTGAATATGAAGTAAAAAACAAGTTTTTCGAAAGATATTGTTAAGATGGAGGAAGTATTATAATAACCAATTAATGGAAAAAAGTCCTTATTCCCTTCGAGAGAAATCGTTTTGATAGCCAAGCTTTTGCTATTTTGATTTATTAATGAGATAAACGTTTCTTTCGTGGTGTTTTATCTATGCCGTCTCCTTAATATACTATCAACTCGAAGGCTTTTAGAAAAAATATATGCTAACTTCACACTACTACTTTTCAATGTTGTCCAACCTGAAAGTTGGTGACGGCTTTTGTATTATTTTCAATATTGGCATTACTGATTATGACATGAAAGCAAGATGGCGAGTTCATCTCCGGTTGATGGCTCTCTGTGATAATTCTTCCGTTCGATGTGAATTTTCAACTTGTTTCGGAATAATTTTTCAAGTCTAAAATTCGTTAAATTTTTTTGATGATTGCATCAAAGTGTTTAAAATACCGGCGTCAATAACTGAACTCGTACGTGATTCTAACCCACCTGAGGAATGTTGGTTTTTTCAGTGATTTGTGATACGGTCAGGTGTTTTCGTTTTAGTCATAATTATAATTTTGTTCCTGCGCAGTGAGTGAAGTTACAGAGTTCAGATGTATTTGTGTCGTGGGGATGCTATATGTCGGGACTGTTTTCAATGTTGGAAAACAAAAGCGTGAACTATTTGTTTTGATCGACCGTGATAGAACAAATTGAGAAGGTCGGGAGGAGAAAGAGCTCCAGCCGGAGTGATGGCCTTCAGTGAGGTGAGTGCTTAGTATTCAACTGCTATTTCTTTATTACTTTACCCACTGTATTATTTTAAACTAAATAAAATTGACCCACATGCTGTGATGGTATGTAGTCAATACATACTGAAAGAACTGTTGGAAATTAATGAATTTAGATATCATGTCCTCTAAAACTAAAACTGCCACATATCATTTCTTCATTGTGCACTATGCAAGCATCCATCTCCCTCCTTTTCATTGTACTTAGAATTTCACAATATGAGTAAGAAGTCAAAATACCTAATTTGTTATCAGCTGAACATTTTAGTGGTGTAATTATTGTCTTAGTTTTATCTGTGCACACATATTTATGGTCTTAGATACCTGATACATGTTAATCCCCCAGCATTTGAGTTCGAACTACCTGCAGTGCACTTGCTTTGATAATAAGATATTTTATGTAACGCAACAAGTAAATGTTATACTCAACTAGGTACATTTTATTTGTTCCGTGCCTACGATCAGTTCTACCAAACACTAGATATTAAATGTACAGTGATTTTAAATAACTGGTAAAATCCAAGGATCAATAGTGTGTAATTGGATTGATTAGCAGATGTTATTAAAATCATTTTGGAAATGGTATGTATAATTTAACTTTTATAACTGTTTATTTATACCAATGAAGACATTGTATTATAATTTTATTTCCCCTAGATAAAATTACCAACTGTTTGTTTTAAATCCAATTCAAATCAAATAAATGAATGGCCAGTATTCAAAGAAAATTGTTCAACAAGAGTCTTGCCGCTCTCATGGATCTTTGTCAATATCACTTAAAATTCTCTGAATGAAACAAACCTAACTTATGCAAGAAATCTATGAATATCGGTAAAAATAGAATAAATCAAGCCACATTAAAACAGACAATATCCTAGATTTGCAGCAGTTTATTTATTTAATTTAATTAAGGATTAAATTAACAGCACATCTCATTTTAGACTTTTATCAAAAACATCATCAACTCTAAGATATTATGTAGTTATTTTAATAAGATTTACTACATAGGGGAAATAATGCTTAAAAGGTAAGCAAAAAATGTATATTGATATAGGTATACAGGTATTGAAAAGTATACAGCTTCTACCTTCTTATTATTTCTTTACATAGACGTAGTGGTAGTCATATGACTACATAGTGTAGCTATACTGTTAAATGTTTAATTTTGTTTAGTGGGTTTGGTGATTAGTTTTATCTAAAACTAATATTTGGCAAGAAAGACTCTAAATGAGATGAAATGAAATGCCTATTAAAATTATGTAAATGTTTGCTAAGTTTTTATATTCCCGAAAACATGTTAATTAATGCAATTCCAAAAAAATATATTAACTTTTTGCTCACTAGATTTAACTTTTTTCGTAAGGTCAGGCATCCTTATAAGTTCAATATACTCTTGTAGCATAATAATTGCTCTCCTCTGAGTCAGACGAAGCTCGTGAGCAAGACGCGTAATTTTTGTCTTTGGGTAATAAATATTGTTTTTTCCTAAACCTTGTTTCAAAAACTATCATTATAAATTAATAATAATGATGATTTCGATACGCGATGATCATGTAACGTAGAAAATGTCAGCAAGCATCAAATTCGTTACGTTGCAGTGGTTGTGTGACGCAACAACCGTTATGAATTCACACGGGCCGGTTTGTTATTCTTCAGAGACTACCACTTAGTGGAGTTATTTGGGTTTAGGTGAAACATCCTCGGTGGGATTGGTGGTAGGCGTTTCATAACGTTTAGCGGCTATTTCCCACGGTTCGATTGTTATTCCGAACTCGATTTGAGGCTGAGAAGCCTCGTGCGTGGCGCATCGAGCGAGGCACTCGATGTCGCTCCGTGGGCCCGAAGCCGCCACTACGTTACGATTTTGGAAATGAGGTCTTCATACATAACTGGCCATTGTTTGAACTGAATGGTTGAATAATTCTGATGCGATAAATTTTTGTTTGAATAAAACCTCATTCTCAAAAGTAGTGCAAATTATGCGAGTTCTTATCTAACTTTTAGATGACTTGTTTTTAAATCATCGGTTTCGTCAGAAAATGTTAATAATATATGGATAATATTTTAAAATGAATGCTTCACATCACATGGAAATGTTTTCGTAATCAACGCACAAATTAATTCTATATTTGTTACAAAAAAGATCAAATAACTTTTGAGATAGAAGGGTCCTGTAAGTAAAAATTTAATGAAGCACAGTGGTAATTATCTTTTATTTGATTTCGTTTCACTCAGTAAGCCAGGCAACATTTTGATTATAAAATCATTTTGCGTCATGTTTACCGCAATATGTTAAGGTAATAATATCCTTGTGACCTACAGTCACATATTAGTTTAGGCAAATATTGCGGTGCTGCTGGTGTGTCACTGGTAAACCTTATCTATATGGGCCGTGGTTTCCTTGTAGGGCTCCCGATAGTCACGGCGCTAGAGGTACAAAAGTATTGCTAAACATAATATTCCTGTTACTTTCGTATTCAAATTATACTGATATTTGTAACAAAAAGGGTATCATTTCAATAACAAATAGGTATTTCGTTTGAGGTTTTTATCTAAAAACATGCGCTATGCTGTTTTTGTCGATGTTTGGCATGGAAAATCACATGAATCCAATCCAGTTTATTAATAAATATTGTAGGTATTATTAGTCATAGGCAGGATTACTAGCGATTAATTACGGTGACCACGGTGGAACAAGATAGTTTTTGATAACAAACGTGGGATACTACACAAAAATACAAACGTTTTCTCTCAATAACAGCCATGAAATCACTTCTGAAAAATTGAATTGAATATTCCCGTCGTCATGTCGATTCAAGTAAATCTCAGTTAGTCAGTCGTGCGCGCAGGGTTATTGACCCGGACTTATCTACAATCAAATTTGTAGGGCTCCCCGAGCCGCCGCGCCATGTAACTTCAAAATATTTGCATAGGAGCTATTCACACCTCTGTAAGACAAAAGACCTCTTACATTTCAACATTTCCATTCGCCGCGGTCGCGGTCAGTACCACGCGAGACGTTAAATTTGTCAAAAAGGCAGCGATACTCGCTAGCGTAAACCGCAGCTTATATAGGCATTTGGATAGTTTCCAAGAATGTAGATGTGTGTACACTGTCATGTTTGTCGTACATTGTAAACATCTGCTGCAGTTAAATATTCTTATTTGTTTAATATTCTGTGTGTGAAAGCTCTCCTAAGAATCCTTTGAAATACCTTTCCCTATCACACTGCAGAAGAAAAGTAAAAGGACTACCTATAAGTTTACAGTTTTGTAGAGTCCCGGAGAAAAAAGAACATTTATGGATTAACAGTTTTAACAGTAACACCTTTCTGATATTCAAATTTTTAAAGCCTACTTTAATAAATAAACGTAACAACTGTTTAATGAGTTGTTGAATTAGTTAGTCCTCAATGAAATACAATTTGTAACAAACGATAAATTGTTAACGCTATGCCATTTGAATTCACCTCTGACCTGGTCATGTCGTGATTGGTATGATATATTGACATTTAGGCTCGACGAGTGAAAGGAGAGGGATATTGAACCATTCTGATAGGATGGTGCCGTACACAGGCAACCGCGTTTTTTTTGCAATAGAATATTAAATTAAATCCGGTAAAATTACTTTACTGTAACATCAGCAGCGTAACTTGTTTTATTAAAAAAAAAACTTGCCG